AGGTTTTCCCATCTTTCTGGTGTTATAAGTCCCCATCCCCCTCTCGAAGGTAGGGAAAAATCGGAAATTTGGGGAAATTTCGATAAAAGTGGTGGAAATCATGGTAATGTGGCAAGAGAGACAAGACAGTACGTAGAATAAGGAGGGGGGGGGGGGGGTAACAGCGGAGGACGCAATTGAGAGGGGATGTCGTAGCAGAGGAAGAAATTGAGGATGGGTGCTGTATTTTATAAAAAATTTCTCGACGGCAGAGTGTGCCCTGCTCAGGGTAGGGCTTAAGACTAAGAGTGCGACTCAGTGAAATGGTAGGTCGAAGTGGCCATTTGAAATGAAATGTATACCGGCTGGAAGGTCTTCGGACGGGAATTACGAAACCGTCTTCCATATCTGCTGCGAACCTCCCAGAAGAGAAGTTACGGAGTTTTTGGGGGAGAATCACTACTCAAATTGGTAGGCGTAGGCTATCGAAGATCGTGGAGCATGGCCCGAAGTGGATACGGTGTAGGGTAGGATAACGACTGTCGAGGATTTGTTCCTTGAGCGTGTGCTCTTTGCATTTTTTCGAAGTGGCCCCTAGTTTGCCACTTCAAAAGCCATTTCAACAGCTTGTCCATGAATAAACGGTCGTAATGTAATGCATTCTGAACGGATGGAGCCATTGCCGAACCATATAGTAGAAATCATCTGGCTGTTGTCCTTTCCTCTTTTTCTTTGATTTGAAGAGCATATGCAACAAAAGAGCACTCCAAAAAAAGATTTTGCTTCAAATGACTTTATTCTTCAAAACGAGATGACTGGAAAACGAATCCGTACGCACGAAGTTGTGCACGAAGATGAGTATAGTGGGGAAAATACTTCCATATGAAGTGGCGTTGATGTGACAAACATGCTGCTGAAGATCGCGATGAGCAAGAGCTTCATTTACCACTCACATAATGTTGAATTATGTCTATCTCAAGTGTTTTTGTATCTGCTGGGAGTTTTCGGCTCGTATGACAATCTTTTCAGCCGGAGGTGATCTCCATGGAACATCCATGAATATCCTATGAAATGAATGAAACACAACTTTCCGTGCGATATTCGTTTTCCAGTCATCTCGTTTTGAAGAATAAAGTCATTTGAAGCAAAAATCTTTCTTTGGAGTGCACTTTTGTTGTATATGCTCTTCAAATCAAAGAAAGAGGAAGACAACAGCCAGAAGTGATTTCTATTGAATGGTTCGCAATGGCTCCATCAGTTCAGAATCATTACATCACGACATTATCATGGACAAGTGTTATGCAAAATAGCTTTGAAGTGCAGAGGGACCACTTTCGAAAAAATGCAAAAGAGCACACGCATCAAGGATCCAAACCCTCGACCACGCACCCGTGAGCCCTACGACGTATCCACTCGGCCATGCTGCCACGATCTCGATAGCCTTACGCCGCCAATTTGTAGTGATTCTCCCTAAAAAGCTCCGTAACTTCTTTCTGGGAGGTCCGCAGCAGATATGGAACACGGTTTCGTAATTCCCGTCCGAAGACCTTTCAGCCGGTATACATTTCATTTCAAATGGCCACTTCGACCTACCATCCTTCCCTTGTCAGAGAAAGAGTTAGCGAAATGTGATGGATGAACAAGGAGTGTTACCATAGCGAGGATTTCTTGAGGGTGGAGTCCGTATTTGGTGAGCATACTCCCCCAGGGTACAGCCATCGTCTGGTGTCAACCCATGGGGGGGGGTCGTACTTGGCCGCTGGGGAGGGGGGGGGGTCGTAATCTCAAGGGTCACTCAGAGCCGAGCAATGGTTCGACATTTCAGTTGATAGTGGGAGTGGAGCTATGGAAGTCAAGATGTTAAAAAAAATGAAGTTTATTATGAGTGTATTCTTTACAGCTTTAAATGCTACGTTTAACAGCCCTCTTTTCATGGGAAATCCCCAAGAATGGGTTCGTACTTGGCCGCGGGGAACGTGGGGAGGGTATCGGAAAGTAGGCTCGCTAGGCATCAAACAGTACAAAAGTGTCATTGCTAAGTTTGATGGAACGGACGGAAAGCTGCAGAAGACCGGATGTAAATAGACTACAAAATAATAAATCTTATCTAGCAAATATAGCCCAGAATAAATAAATAAATAACGATAGTTAATAGCGTGCCTCGTAATAGCAGATGACTAAATAATACGTCTCAAACAGATTCGTGCGTGTTGTCCTTTACAAACCCTAAACAAACATCTGCTTGCATGGATAAAAGCACCTGAAATCAGAATTTACACCTTTCCACCACCTCTGCGTAGGAGCCTAATGCACGGCGCACGGACCAAATCGATCAGAGATAGCCGAGCTTCTCTTTCACTCATTTGAAGGGAAATATGTGTTTTGAAGGCACACTGAAAGTTTCCGAAGGTGTATCCTCACAATGGCACATAAGGAGTCAATTTTTCGGGTGGGTCAGAGGGTGGCGCATCTGTGACCCATCTAAAATATCTCCTGAACTAGTGGGTCTTCAGAAAAACTGTAAAGCTTATTGGAAAGAGAAAAGATGGAGGGGTTTCAGGACGACTTTAATCCTGATGAAATTGCGTTTGAACGAAGCAGTCCTTGTGTGAATCATGGAAACCAGCTCGCGATTTACCCCTAGCCTATCCAAAACCCATCCGGAATATTTCACCAACGGGGATTGTTCAGTTTGCAACTAGGTAGAATACACAACAGTAGAAACTTTGCCGTTGCATGCTGCTCACCATTCCTCAAAAGCTCCGCACCTAAAAAAGATATAACCCCCGAACAGACCCCAGGACGTTGGCAAGTCCAACAACCGCGCTCCAATGACGTTTTTCCAAAGAAAGCGGTCGCAGCCTTGCGCCCTGCAGCCTGATCGATAATAGCCAAGTATGGAACGATTTACTGCCGGCCTGGTTATCCTTTTTCATTTAGCTCTGCATTTTTTGTATTTTCCATGTTTCGCTTTGTTGTGTCGTGCATGTTTTCATTATTTCCCCGTCACCATTCATTGAATGCACATCTGGGCCCTGACACGCTCACCTTGGGGCTATTTTTTCACCAATTCAGCCTATCAATGATCACCATTAGCCGCTATTTCAATTGTGTTCCTTGTTACAAGTTGCATGTCATACATAGTTATCGAACGAGGAGTTTTATTTGAATCCTAAGACAAAATTGTAGGTAATGCGAGGCTGTTGTTCAGCCTCATATTGCATGAGGCTGAAACAGCCTTTTATTTCCTGTATTTTAGAGCAGAGTGCGCCTTTCGAGAATCCAGATTCCATTTCAGGAAGTCATTTGTGGTGAACATGCATCTGGTTGTCAGTTAGAGCAGGAGGGGCGCGGGGGGGTCGTATCCTGACTCTCTTCGGGAGGCGGGCGTCGCTACCCACACCGCCAGCTTTGACACATCCCCATGCTGTTTTTTGTTTTTCATACCTGACTCCCCCCCCCCCTCCCCCTTCTAAGGCTAGAAGGGCCCTGTATGTGGCCTTCCAATTAAAGGCGGTTTCGCGATGAAGACTTATGAGCGCCTTTTTGAATGTATTTGAAATTTCCAAGATTATGTTCGTCCATGGGTATCAGGCGCCAACAATAACGCAGGTGAATTTACCGATAGCGAAAGTTGCGCTCTTTTCTCGTGAATCACGCTACTTATACGATAGCGAATCGCCAAGCGAAGGGGTCGTATTAGTCCGCCGGGAAGGGAGGGAGAGGGTGTTATGAACACGTATTTGCGCTTGGAAAGACGCAGTGTTTACGGTTACCGTCGTCGTCCTTTTTTTGGTTTCAAAGTGTTCTTCTCCCCAACTTCTACCAAACGTGGACGCGCAGTTTGTCATGAAAGAAAACTACGGAAAATCAGCAGTAAACTGAGGGGTCAGGGTCGGGACTCAAAAAAATGTTAGGAAGGTTTAGGGAGCATCGGATAAGACGGAAGATCGCATCAGTCGTCCAGAGGAGGGAATGCCTCGGGATGGGGTAGCATGCTGCAGAAATTTTTCCCAACGGGAGAATCTGCCCTAAAGGGAATCCAAATGGGGAGCCTTGTGATGATGATTGAGTGGGCGCAGTTCGGCGACGGTAGGGGGGGGCATTTTGCACTTTTTTTGCTTCACTAGTTCCAGTTTACAAGTCTCACTCTGGTGAAACTTGTGAACTCTTGTGAAGCTGGAGCAAGCTCGTCTAGCCACCATGCTAAAACGTGTCAACTCGAGAAAAACTATCAGATGGGTCGGCACATCGATGGAAAACAAAATGCCCCCCGTCGCCAAACTGCGTTTCCGAGTGTCTTTGAACCATTTTGAGCTGTGTCTGTCCATGGGTATCACGCGGAAATAACCCGGTGATTTATGTGCGAAATGGCGCCCTCTCGGTGAATCACGTCGGGGTGTTTGGGCTGTAGCGGCCAAGCATAACCAACATTATAGCCCCTACCCGGATAATCCGATCACCCTGATTGGCAGCGGACCACGGACTAATGGCAATGGCACCGGTGGGGCCATATATGGGACCACACTCACCTTGCACGACTAACTGGCGAGGTTGTGTCGCGAGATGTTTTTGAACTCGAGCGCCTAGTGCTTTCTTAGTGCGTGCAGCGTTCCGCGTCGGTGACCGTCTTCGCGCCGTATAAAGCGCAGTCCGGTCCCTCCACCTAACGCCCACCCACTCTCCGTGCTTACTACCACCACTCGTCATCCCACCCATCCTGTCGATTCCACATTCCACAACTTCAATCTAATATACTGCTTACTTAACTCCTGCCTAGTCTTCATTCGTATCGTTGCCGTGCTCGACGGCGCCGGTGCGCCAACGCTATTTATTCGTGCCATATAGGGCTTTAGGCCCACCGATTTCTCTTTTGTGGTTATTAGTGACGATTACGGTAATTGTTAGTGATTGGCCTGAATTCAGGTGTCATGGAGGACCCTCGAGAGAGGGCATACAAGGCGGTGGCCTATTCAGCGGTCACATTCTCTCTCGTCGCTATTCTCTCAGTTTGTATTACTATGCCTATTGTATACAACTTCGTAGATCACGTACAACAACAAACCAAGCGAGATCTCCAGTTCTGTAAGGTAATTGTACAGTATTCTATGAGTAAATAGTATTTTCCTCCCAATTTGGAGAAGCTAGTCCTCTTCAAATGGTGCCCGCATCATCCCCACAACCATCGCCGTCATTCGGTTACGATGGTGGAACTCTGCGCGCCGATGATGACACGGAGATTGACGGGGGGAAGCCAACCAGCCAGCCAGCCAGCCGAACTTGGACCATTTAGGCAATTCTCGTTTCTCTGGCATCATGATGAGTGAGCGATGACGACGCTACACACTAGACACCTGGGAATAGTTTCCTGAATCCGGTCCCCGTCACCCGGAACATCTTTCATGTTCCCACAGTCATGTCCTTGTCGAGGGTACTTGAAAGATAAGTGGGTCTTTACGTTCAACCCCGTTCCTTAAGCGCCGAGTTTTAGTGTAAGGACGATTCATCTAGGGTGCAATAATGGCATTCCTACGTTCATAGCTTAAATCGATCTCGTCGTAACGACCTAAACTGGGCAGTTTCAGTCATCAGCAAGAGACATCATGACGGAGATCACTCACAAAAAGCCTGCATCTTTTGCGTCAATCGCAGCTAACGCTACCGCTGCAAGGACAAAGAGGCAGGCTGGCTCTTGCGCCTGTAAGTGACAATTCATTACCAATGTTACTAAACACTTTTAATGAGTTCTCAAAGACCACAGTATCGTTATTTTCCAGCATGCTGCAAACCTGGCCATCCTGGACGCCCTGGACTGCCAGGCAGAAATGGAAAACCTGGAATTCCTGGAGCACCAGGTCGACCAGGTGCACCTGGACGACCGCCAATCGTATGCGAGGAACTTGACATTCCTCCATGTAATCCGTGTCCACCAGGGCCACCTGGACCACCAGGACCAAATGGACCTCCTGGAAGTCCAGGAAGGGCTGGAAGTCCTGGTCGACCTGGTAATCCAGGACCTCCTGGAGCACCTGGACCGAACGGACCAGCTGGACAACCCGGAACAGCCCGATCATGTAGGAGAGAAAGGGAGAACTTGGACAGCCCGCTACAGAGCACAAGCCATCCCCGAGATCCGGCCGGCCGGGGAGAGCAGGTTTCTGTGTTGTGTAGACTTTGGACTCAGGGTCCGGAATGGGTTGGCTGCACGAATGGTGTTAGCTGATTTACAGAACAGGTGGGAGTGACTTGAAATGGATAGAAAATATTCCACACAGTTCGTTATTAAAGTGATGAAGGCCGGAGCTTCAGAAAGTGAAGTCTGTTGTGATTTTCTATGAATTCACATTTCAAGATCTCCTGTTCCGCGGACCCGGACGGGTCAAAGCCGGTCCGATGGGACAAGCTGGACAGGCGGACCCCTGGACTCTGGAGATCCCTGGACCTGCTGGACCCGCCGATAACGCCTAGGAACTCCTGGACAACCTGGAGCAGCTCTGGGACATAAGAGAAACGTTGGTATTGTCCGAATTGCGCATTGGACGGAGGTGTTTTTCTTCGAAGATGGAACACGACGATAAAGAAGGCTACAATCAGATCACCTCGGGTGCTATATATTTGTATGTATGTAATAAAGCGCTCTTACAGAATTTTAACCATATTTTCAGGTTTAGAGATCTCGCGTAAGTCTCCCAGAAGTATATCCTTGCATGCGGTATATCTTTCTAGGGCGACGATGCCCGGTTGCATGGGGAGGAAATCAATTTCTCTCTGCACACCTGTCCACGACAGGGCCTACCTGCTCCAGGGTTTTAGAACAACACGGACCTTTCTAACAACGCCAGTAAGGCTGGAGGTCCTCCTGACCTTGGTGATTAAGGGACTTTGATTGCACACAATGACCTGAAGGGGACCGGGCGTCAGAGGAAGGGCAGCTCTGTAATAATTTTTCACCCTCCAGACATACCGCTACCACGTTGCGGTTCCCAGAGGACGAAGGCTGACGCCTGTTTGTGAATCTCATGAATTGTCCCCGCAGTATGCACGAGTAAATAACCGCACTTATCACTGGCCGCCAGTTCCCCTTTGACAAGTGGTTCTGTGTAGAGGTGTTGTTCACAGAAGTGCGGGAGGCGGACAAGAAATTGTTGATAGCACTCTTACCTTATTTTACTTGACGCCCAGATTTCTCCTATCTCTCAAACTGGAGATAGAATAATTAGCGTCAAGGGCCAAAAAAACAAGTAGTGCGCGGAAACCACTTGAGAACTGTGATGCTAGGAAAGACAGGCAAACCTGCTATTCTGCTGATGGACTGCCAATTTTGCAATGATGCTGCCTTGAGGATATAAATATCAACGCACTTGGGACGGTCCTGGAGAACTGATCTGTTTGGTCTCGACTCGTTCTTGGGACTCGGGCGCACTTATTCTTCATGTAGGATCATTCTCCACCGCACCTGTGAACCCAGAGGAGGTGGTGCAGTAGAGAAGTGGCGCTATTCCCACGAGCCGAGGTTCGGGTAAAATTAAACCTGTTCCGTGGTTATGATCGCTTCCGCTCGCCAGCTAGACCTATCCGACTCCGGACGCGTCGTAATTTGGTACAAGATTTGTCCCGAGAAAAGAAAGACGAACTCCAGAATGAAAAGACCTCCCAATGAGCCAGTGCAGTGGAGGTTTGCTTGCCTACGCATAATTTTATGCCATATTACCATGCGCTAATCCGAAAGAACTGATCTGCAAGTATAATTCCGATTATGCTCCCATTATTGAAACCGACATCATATGACACAGTATTTCTTTCATGTAAGCCGAGACATGGCGCATCTAAGTCCCATGCTGAAGGGCAAGCCGAACCTCCTAACAAGCCCAAGTAGGGCTAGAGGTCCATCGCTGACGGCTGGTGATTCAGGACTTTATGATTGCGCACAGCCCCGCCCCGTCGTATCCCTTCCTGAGCCGCTATGACCTGAAGGGATAAGCTTCAGAGAAGGGGGCAGATCTGTAATTAATTTTTTTCACCCTCCCAGACATATCCGCTACAAGCTTGCGGTTCCCAGAGGGAACGGAAGGCCTGATGGCCTGGTTGTGACCCTTCCAGGATCTGATCCCCGACAGTATGCACGGTAAGCGCCGCCACTTATCACTGCCCCAGTTCCCCTTTGACAAGTGGTTCTGTAGAGGTGTCTGTTCGCAAGAAATTGCTGATTCCTCTACGTTATTTCTTGGCCCAGGATTAGCTTCCTATCTCTCAAGCTGGAGGTAGGAATAAATTAGCGTCAAGGGCCAAAGACAAGTAGTGCGGCGCGGAAAACCCTTGAGAAATGTGAGCTAAGGAAAAGTACGGCAAACCTGCCTATTACCTCGCTTCGGCTGGCCGAACATTTTTACTGCAATTGTGGCTCCTTCAGGAGACTATAAAAAATCAATCTACTTGAGGGCGGTGCCTTGAAGAACTGATTGTTTGGTTTCACTTGTTTTGAGACCGGGACGCGCCACTTATTCCATTCATAGTAGGAGGAAATATTCTGCCACAACGTGTGAACCCACGGGGAGGCAGATGCAGTAGAAAAGAGCGTACTTACCAAATGGTGTCCGGGGTTAAGAAGCCTAACCTGGGTTCACGCTGGTTATAGATCGGCTTCCGCTCGGGCCAGCTAGGCCCTTCCACCTCCGCGACGCCCGTAAATTGGTAACCGGATCGTCTGAGGAAAGAAAGAACGAACTCCTAGAATGACGTTCCAATGAGTAAGATCGCCGAAGCGCGAACCTCAGGAGGTTTGGGCTCGCACCGATTTATCCGGCTAATAAACCAGTCGCTCATCCCAAAAAGAACTGGACTCCAAAGTCTAGTCTCAATTGTAGCTGCACCATTGCACCGAATATAACTTCATAAACTGCGTCTGCAGTATTTCTTCAAACAAGCCGAGGAACAATGGCGCATTCCTGAAGTCATCATGCCTTGATATCTTGTTTTCTATCGCGTGTGAAGAGCATTAGTTGTCCATTGAGAGCTGCAGATCTAAGAACTTTTTCCAATACGAAAACTGGCCCTCGACGAGCGCCACCCAGCGCCGAAAATCCGTTAAAGCCGACAGAGAATCGCAGAAATTCCTCAGAAAAAAACATCGCCGAAATGCAAGAAAATTGGAGCGAATTCTTGCAATCTTATGGAATTTTGCTTTGTCTGAAGATTCGCGAGGTCTACAAGAACTCATTGAGGGCCAGAGTCAAGAGAAGAAAGAAAGAAGGCGTTCATAAGTCTGGCGCTCAATGAGTTCACATGACCATGCTGGGTTGGTTGCATGCTAGAGAGTCCTGTTTTAACCAACAAAATATCATTATGAGCGCGCACAAACTCGCTCAACAGACTAAGTGTGTGTAAGCAAAAAACAATATGCTATTTGTCAGGCAAAGCAGCGGAAGCAAAGCAACATTACGTGGGAGTCACCCTTGTGCCAGGCGGAAGTCGAACCTAATGTCCATATTGCGAGTGACAATTGTGAGCCCTGAGGGGTGAAATGCTATACGAGGAATCGCTACAGTGTTACGAACAGGAAATAAGAAGGCCGGAAATGAATAGCAGTGGGAGGTGGGTGGCAGGGGGGGGGAACGAGGCAAAAGTATCGAATTAAGTTACGATGAACATGGAAGCATCATGTGTAGGCGCCACGCAACATGTGTGAGCGCGGCAACTAGGGCACGCCGTATACTAGAAGGTCCCAGCGGAGGGGTCGTATTTGATTGGCGGAGGGAAGGGGGGTAGGGGCGTTTTTGGTCTGAAGAAAAATCTTGTGGAAATTGTTTTTCCTCGTTCACGAGGGTTATCCACATCGATGGGAGTCTCAATGAGACGGCGCGGCGGGGTCAATGCTCGTCGCCTTGAGAGGGAGAGGGGGCCGTATCTGGCCTTAATAAGATTTTTTCATGGACGGAAATTTTTTTGTTAATTGTTAGCTTTTCGAGGTATCTCCTCTTCTCCCCCTGCGTAAAGGGCAATAGTCCACGAGAAAAACTAGAAAATTTTTGGAAAATTTTGGACAAATTCGGTGAGGTGTGGGTAGGATGGCAGATCAGAGGGAGTAATCGTACGACGATAATTTGGGTACGGGTGGTCATATTTGTCAAAAATATCTCGCTCAATTTTAGGAAGCGGCTTATTTCCATAAATTGTTAGCTGCCTCGGACTGGCAACCGCCAACAGGAACGGGATGGCGCAGAGCGAAAACGTACGCACGCGTGAACGCCTCCCATTTTCCAGCACTGTACTCTAATCCGATTAAAAATCTCATGGCGCAATACCTGCCTACGGTCTGGGACAGCAGTCGTCCCTGAATTTCCGCAGTAGCTTCGCCCTTGTACTCACCCACTTGTCTATCTTTTCTGCGCAGCGTACAAACGCCCTAGGGGAAGTACGAGGAGTGCCAAGGAATGATCCGGGTTATAACGTCCCTCAGCAGTACCTTCTCGATTTCAAGGCAATTCAACGAACACCACCAGGAATATTGAAAATAATGGAACATAGGAGGGTGCTAAAGGCGCCCTAAGTTTCAATGAATGCCCCAATCCATGGAAGGTGCTGAACCTTTTTTCTTGCGAAACCTGACCCATATATCCATCTCGTTGAATTTTTCAGAGGTCTCCGTACCCCTCATAGTCCAGATTTCCAGCGGAAAACCAGTCCTGTAGTTACTCGATTCCAGTAGCTATTGACTAGACGCACTTAAAGCGCGATGCCTGGTTTCCTTCAAGGTTACGAGATGAGCGGAATGGTCTCAGGATTCTGAAAGTTGCAATACGTTTCTTAGTTATTCCACTGACTAAATTTTCACGTTTCTTCCCTAAACAAATCGGATTTAGCAGTGCAAAGCCCGCAGCACTGATTATCTCTCAATTAGGTTGAGCCACGCAATCTACATCAAAATTTCGAGAATCAAAGGTGATATTAGTCATCCGAAATGTGGACGTTTCCTTTTTGTCTTCATCCAATCCAACCATTCCATTGCCAATTCAAGAGGGCCATACCTCTTAATAAAAATAGGGGTTAACACTGATGGGGTTATACAAGTCAAAAGTGGCAAGAGGAGTAAACTTTGTGCCAGACTCCGGCACCAGTGTTTAGTCTCCCGATTTAGGTATACATTGGCCTCAAGGGAAACAAAAACAGGGTAAGCCATCCGGGCCTGGGCAGGTCAGCCCTGGCCGAACCTTCGGGTACTCCTCTCACATCACGTTAGGGTTTGGACCACCCTCTCGCTTAGATTTTAGGTCAAAAAATCTAAACCAAAATAATTACTTCTTCTACAACAAGTACGTAAAGGTAAGAGGAGAGACCAAAGAATATTGGCTAAAAGACTTTGGAAACGATAACACAAGCTACAAGTGTAACAATAGAAACTGTAGAATATGTGAAATAACTGAGCTGACAAAGACAAATTATATTTGTCTTCAAGTTACAGGACTAACATA